GGTGGAGCGATGGGTGTTTGCGAGACCGAGGGAACATCACTGGGCCATCACTGGGTCTCGCAAGGCCAGGTGACCGCCATATCTCGGAACGCCTACGTGCCTCATCCGTCACCTATGCTAAATCGGAATCTATATGTAAATCTCTCGGCACTCGAAATGGAGCAAAAAAAAATTCTAAAAGGGGAAATATATTTAAGAGCGGTCGGATCCAGTCTGAAACGTACGAATAACGAGGCAATGGCCTCTGTTGGTCCGTGGTCTTTGTCGGTCCACGGACTCGTTAGGCGAATCTATTTTTCCACCTTTTTTTTCGTCTGCGAGTCTTCGATGTATTTTGGGTTTTCCGGTCACGTATCGCTGGATTTTTTTCGTTCTTTCCGTTCTCGATATTTTCGACCGGACCAAAAGCACGAGAAAATTGTTTCATCGTAGAAGAATTTTCGTCGGAGCGAGGAACAGAAAGTTTTAGTTTTCTCTTACTCTTCGCACCTCGGGGTGATCGAAAACCATCTGTCGTTCGAAGGGCGCGAATCCGGAGCAGACGTCGCGGACGGAAATCCGCGAGCCGCGAACGGAGTCCGACGTCTGCCGTCTCGTCGTCTCGGTCGAGAAATCCCCGAGCGATCCCCGAGAGATCTGCGTCGTTCGTGGATCGCTCGCGAGAAATTTTTTTCTCCTCACGCGTTTCTGTCCGTTCGCAGGTGGCTCGGCGAGGTGCGAAATACGGGATGCCGGCCCCGATGCTGGTCCGATTCGAGCAGGAAATCGACCGAGACATCGCCAAGGACCAGAAGGAAGCCAAGGACCAGAAGGAATCCGGGGCCTCTGCGTCCACCGGGGCGCAGACTCCAGACGACACGGACTCGGTCGACCCGTACGACGACTCCTACGACGACGACAGCGAGGCCGGGGAATTCGGCCCTCGGCCCCAGGTCGTCACCAACGACCTCAAGAGCCTCGACGAAATGGTAAAGTCGACCTTCGGTCTCGCTTTTTTACGTCGTGGTCGACGCACGACGGAAGCGAATCAGTGGGTCTAGGTCGGCTCGCAAGGGCCGACGAGTCGGAGCCACCTTTTTATTCATCAGGCCTTCTTTTTTTTTCTCACCGGATGAGATCCGACGAGTCGAAAAGGTTCTTCCTTTCCGGGTGTCATCCGACGATTCGTATTCCGGTCCATCCTCGCCGAGTCAAGGCTGGAAAGAGACTAGAGCGATGGCGAAATCACCGCCTCGTTTCGATGACTCACTCCTCGACCGAAGAGAAGTCGGAATCCGACTTCCCTTTTCGACTTCTCCTTTTCCCGCCCGGTCGATTTCGACACGCCTCGGGCGTTCCGTCGTCCGAGGCGCGAATGCGAGGGGCGGCGCGACGAAGCGAACGACGGAGACGGTCCTTGAGCCTCAGAGGTCTCTCGATCCTCAAAGGTCTCCCGAGTCACGCCTAACAGGATTGCATCAATCCCATCGATCCGTGCGGATAAGCCGATGGTCTTATCCGCGCGGGAACTCCCCACGAAATCCGCGGGGGACCTTCCCCGCCCGCCTCGAGTTCGTTCCCCGATCGAATCCAAAATAAATTCCCCCCCTACCCCCCCACCCCCCGGCGATCGTCGATCCGGCATGTGGCAGCGGTGACGACGTGCGGCGACGAAGGTTCCTTTCCGCGCAAGGACGGGGTCCCCGCTTCTTCTCACAAAGGGGTCACGTCCCGCGTTCAAGGCCTTCGGTCCGACCGAAAACGAAAAACCTCCCGAGGAACTGACTTTCGGGAATGCAGTCCGGTCCTCATTAGGCGGAATAACTAATTAACCAAAAAAAGCCAATTAGTCTGGGAGCGGCATTCCGAACCCGCCGAAAGGCTCATCGCCGAGGAAAAAGAAAAAACTTTAGAAAGGTGAAGTATGATGAGGTGAGGAACGATCGTTTCGTTGCTTTCGGTGACCTCAGAGGTCGACACTCAGAAAGAAAAAAACGAGTCGAGTTTGTCCCGAGCGGCATGGAGTCATTTCGACGGGTATTTACGTTTAGATGGTTATTTATATTAAACATACGTTGCAGGTGCGAGAGCTGGTGGAGCGATGCCAGTGCCCCACTCAGTTCCCGATGATCAAGGTCGGCGAGGGCAAGTATCGCATCGGGGACACCAAGATCATGATATACGTCCGGGTACGCGAACGTTTCCGTCGTTTTCGGTTTCGCCTTTTTTTCGTCGCGGCGACGACGGTCGGTTTCGATCTCTCGTGCAGATCCTGAGAACGTACGTGATGGTGCGGGTCGGCGGGGGGTGGGACACCCTGGAAAATTACCTCGACAAACACGATCCCTGCCGATGCAGAAACGGTGGGTCGAGTCCCTCGAGGATCCGTCTTTCCTGTTAAATTCATTGGTTTTTATGGATATGTTTCGTTTTAACAGGGCATCGAATGGCCATCTCGAGCCGCCTGACCGTAAAAGGCGGTCTGGAAACCAACAGCCCAAGGATGCAGGTCAACTACGAACGGTAGGTCGCGTCTCTAGACCGCCTCTCTTAACTCTAAACCGACACCGACTTCGATCGGACGTGAGAATTTCATTTTCGTCGTCTCAGGGCGAATTCGCCGGGGCACTCGAGACGAAATTCCATGACGAATCTGTCGGCGGGATCCCGACGAAATTCCCAGACGGATCTACTCCAGGCGACTCCCCCGAACCTGGCGACTCTCCCGAATCTGGTGACTCTCCCGAATCTGGTGACTCCCCCTGCTTCCAGGAGGAGTCTCAGTCCCGCTTCGAATTCGTCTCGAAACCGGTCTCGGAATCAGAGCCCGGTTCCTTCTGCCAAACGGGCTCTGAGGCCGGAAAGTCCCGATGTGACCAAGAGACCCGAGAGTCCCGGAATCCGGAACCGAAACGGGTTACGGAACAAACGAAGCGAGAGCCCTGCGGCCGCGATCCGGAGCAGGCAGAAGCGCAGCGAGAGCCCCGCCGGTCTGCCCCGGGGGCTCACGGGATCCCGCGGATCTAGTCCCAGCCCGGCTGGTGTCAGACGGGACCGGTGCGACTCGGAGGTGTCGGACGATGGGTACCGGAGCGAGTCTCGGATTCCCTTACTCAAATTAACGAAGTACGTGCAACCGAAGAGGATGACCAACTTCGTCGAGGATGTCTCCGCGGAAAACGGCCAGAATAGCCCCGGTGAGTCTTACTAGACTTCGCTCTTAACCCTATCGATGACTTTTCTTTTCCGCGGAAAAAACATCAGGAATGACAACGAAGACGAACGCCCTAACGATAAAGCAGAGGAAACGAGGAAGAGGAACCATATGATGCCTGGATGGATACTTTTCAAAATTCAGAATAATTTCTTGGAAAAATGCTCCATCTTCCGAGGAAACAGTTGAAATGCAGTATCGTTATTTGTTCCCAGAACGACCGGAGTCTCGACTGACGGGGGGATCCTCGGAATGCAGCAGCACCCTGTCGACCGACGAGGGGCTCTATCTCACCCCCGAACCCTCCAACCAGCGACAGCAACAACCCCTGAGCCGTCGGAAGTCGATCGACAACAGCCAGCTGGACTGGACGGAGGACGACCTCGACGTCGGCATCGGAGAGTTGAGAAGGAACGACCCCTGGCGTCACTCCGCCTCCTCCCGGATCCCGAGGAAGGTGACGAAGAACGGTATGACGACGTGGAGCGGGAGGAGCGCGCAGAAGAAGGAACGACCTCGCCTGGCCCCCGACCTCTTCTCCCCGATCCTGAAGGAGATGCTCGCCCGACCCGAGGAGCTGGAGGACGACCGCAAGATCCTTCAGAGGATGGAGGAGATCTTGAAGCAGTACAAAGGGCGGGGCGGCGAGGAGGACCAGAACGAGGAAGATTATCGGCGGATTTCGCCGATTCGCATCTCGCCGCCGCGCAAGGATGGTCTCGCTTCCAAGATCCCCATCCCGACCTACTATGTCCATTCCCCCGAAGCCTATTTGTGAAGAACGAATCGGTGCTCCATGGTGCTGACATCATTGTTTCTTAAGAAAGAAAAAAAAAATCATCGCTACTCTCATGAGATAGGATCATCGCCTGCTTGTGTGATATTCCGAAGTCCTCCAATCAAAAAAAGTTTTTGGGAATTTCCAGCATCGCTAGTTTCGAAAGAATTTTTTCTGAAGTTGACTGGAATCGTTTTGTGGAAAGTCTCGCTTTTTCTCGTCCGGTGACTAATGTTATGTGAGAAGGTCTAATTGCTAGACACTAACAAGAGATGGAAAATAAATTTCTCATGAAATTCATGTTTTCCTTCGTGGATTCGTTTTATTTTCCTCTTCGAAAGTTCCAAGCTGTTGCATTCGATGAGGTTGTACGCAGCCTTCGGAAGAAACCGAATGCCAAAGAGCAGGGCATCCTGACATTAACTCGGGAGCTTTTCCTGCTTCACGCGATCACCGCGTCAGAAAAGAAGAAAAAGAAAAGAAACCGCTAGAAGGTTCGGAAAGCAAAAGAAACCGGAGAGTTCCGTTCGTGACGGCATCCCGATCGCGTGACGAGAACGACGATGGAACCACGAGAACCACGACACGACGCAGAGTCGGTTCCTCCGCGGCGGCCTCGCATGGAGATGACGGAGTCGAAGCCACCCGTGTGCGGAGGACCCGTTGCTCCGTGTCTCGCACTCCGATCGCCTCGGTTTCTCCAGTCATGCGAGAGGCGAGAAGGGAATCGCACGCTCATTCGTTCGAAAGACGAGGTTCCGAACGTAAACGTTCGTGCGGAAAACCGAATGCGTGTGGAAACCAATGAACTTCGCCGTGGAAGGGAGTCTCCCTGGGATCGTCGACGATCGATGTCATTTCGTGCCTCTTCTGGGTTTCGGCCCGATGCGGCGCCGGGCGTCTCGCTCCACAGCATGCATGGGATTTAATTTTAAAGACTATTTAAAAGACCCCGCGAACACGTACCGTCGGGCAAGTCCTCGTAAGAGGGAAACATCACCAGGAAACGAGAAGGAAGCCATCGAGAAATCCCTGCTCCCCGAATCTCTCGCCTGTGAGACTCAGGAAAGTGTAGGCTCACGGGTGATGCGATCCTGCACGTATCTGCATTTCCTTCCACGGTATCAATTATACGCGTGAGGCTTTTCGGAGATGCAATGACTCGCGTTTGCGGACCATGAAGCGTTGCTTCCGTAAGAATTCCAATGCTAGGCAATTTTCTTCAATTTCTTTGCACATCTGCACTCTCGGAATGATGCGGAATGGAAAAAGCTTCAGGCATCATAACACGTTTTATACTGTTTGTTTTTCCCGTTCGATGACTTCATCGTTGATGCACTTTTGAAGGATCGATTGTGTATTCGTGTCATTCACCGCGAAAAAATGAAAGGATGGAATGCCGCGAGGGGGAGGGGGGGGGGGGGGGGGGGGGCGGGGGGGGGGCGGGGGGGGGGGGGGGGGGGGGGGGATTCTCTTTCGTCACTCTCTCAAGCGCGAAAGTGATGGGAAGGGGGACGGAGACAAGGGGGGGGGGGGCGGGACGGGGTTCTAACCTCGAGACGTTTATTGACTTGATCTTCGGGATCCCCTCCCTTGTTCTTTTCAAGATCCCTCCCTTCATCTTTTCCTTCCATCTTTTTGGGATTCTCTCCCGCGGCCGAGAAAAGAAAGAGCATCGATCCCCGAAGGGCTTCCATCGATGCCGTAATTTCGTTCCCCGTCTCGAGTGCGCTTGAAATCCGAACGAAACGGAGGAACTCGGACGGATCGGGAGAGCCGGAAGCGTGCGTTCTCGCGTCGTGCGTGCGTACGCCGACCCGAAAGCACGTCCCGCGCGAAGAGGCACCTGTCATCGGGGTCTTGACGGATGCGAATACGGACGATTGCAGCCAGAAGGCATGCGTGCACGGACGATTTTGGGGTCGGACGAAGTGTTGCACTCCGTCGGGGAATTCCTCACTTCGGAATTCCTTCGGCCTCGTCGAGCGCACGGTCGCACGAGGACGCGTGGAAGAGACGTCGAGTCCGGCGTTCCTCGTCGAAAACGATTTTTCCAGCCCAACCGGTGAACTCGACGGGACGCAACTCCGACTCGCGAGGAAGAAACGAAAGGGAGAGGAAGCGAGGAGATTTATTTGCCTTCGTTGAGTGAGCCGTGAAGCGATGGTAACGACGACGTCATCGGCAACCGCTCCGCCGATTTCTCGAAACGTTCATTCCTCCGTCTTTCTTTGGACGTTTGAGGGAAAAGAAAGACCGAACGAGATTCGGCGTCGGAATCCCTTAACCCTCTATTTCAAGAATCATGAAGATGTGGCAGTAAAAATTGGTCAATGATCACTTAATTTGCATTTCTCCCCTAATATTTCACTAGGAATTGTTTGGGGTGATGCAATGGTCTGTGAGATGCGGGTTTCATCCCATTTGGCATCGTCGGGCAAAATACGCAGTCAACATAATTATTCTCTCTTCGCGTTCTCGAAATTTTCATCGATGCCGGTCGGCATCATCACGCTCTGCAACTTGAGAGACGTTGGGGATTTCGATGCGATGCGACGAACGAGGAAAAGGGTGTGAACCATTGAGTACTTTTCGGCTCTTCGAAGGCCTCGAGGAATCGTGGATCACCTCTCGGGGCATGTGCATCGAAACCGCGAACGCAGCGGTTTTACGACTTCCGGGAATCGCGGTCGATACGGAGGAACGTCGCCGGTCCGATCTCAGTCGCGATCGCGAAAGAGAAGCGACCTGCGGAACGGAATCGGATTCGTGCGAAAGCGTGAAAGGCTCGGCTCGGCTCGGTCCCTTTCGGCCGCACGAGTCTCGGACATTCTAGTCTAGTAATTATCCGTCCGGCCCCGATCTGTCGATCGTCTCGCACCGATTCGCAGGTGTTGTCGATATTTTCACGGGATTTATCGCGCCCCCTGGGGGGAGGATGTCCTCCTGAGGGGCGAGCATCTACTTGAGGGATGAGCATCTACTCGAGGAATGAGCATCAATTCCAACTCGCGTGGACCGAACGCATTCGCACTTAATCCTATGTCAAGTTTCATGCGCATGTTTGGCAAGGCGACACGTGGACAGTGGATCGCGGCACTTAGCAAATATTGCCACCGGGGGTGCAACCATCGCACGATTGCAGCACTTAGTAAACCTTGCCATCAGGGGCGTCGCCATTGCATAATTTGCATGGAGGTCGTGTCGTCGGTGCGGTGAAGCTTCGCCATCTGCTCTCTCTGCTTTCCTCTCGGGCTTCATCGTGCACGGCGGTCTGTATATCGGCAACAGCAGCGTGTTTAAACGATCTCTCGTTCGATTTCTAGGTGATTTATGCCACCGTCGAATGATTTGAAGGAAACGATGGAACGGTATTGCCCCGGTGGAAAGATCTGCAAAGTGTTCCAATCCATAAATGTCACTCGCGTGAGATGGCACCATCATACATACATCGTATCCCCATCCTCATATAGCATCATAAAGCAAGCCTCCCCTCAAATGGGCCATCAACTTTACGATCACCCTCTACTTTTTCTCGAACCCCACGTAGAATTTGACGACTTTCATCCTGCAAAGAGACTCGGGGGGTAGGAAAACGGCAAACTCACCGGCAGCGACTTTCTCCCGTCTGCAAAAGAGTGAAAAGCGAAAAGGATATCCGTCTTTCCACATCCGGCTGGAAGCCAGAAGCAGACGACGCATCTCGGAAGGCATGCAGGGCCCAGTGCTGTAATTAGGCGCAGTGGCCAGTCGTTGGTATGTCATGCTTCACTGCGACCAATTACTTCTTTGCGCAATATCAGGTGTGACGAGTTACATTTTTCGAAAAGTAACTAACAGTAAAATGTACTTTAAAGCGAAAATACATATGATGCCGTTATTGTAACGTGCCACTTTTTTAACCAGCTAACTTTCATTTCCGCAATAATAATAGGCATTGTAAAGAGCACGGTAATATCACACTTAGCGCTATCCCGTATGTATCCTGTTTCGTTATAGCGCTCTTGATCCTGGAGAGAAAAATTTTTACTGAAAACCAAAAAAGTGAAAAAGTGAAAAAAATCCAAAATACAAGTCAAAAGTTATGAGTCAGAATATTCACAGCTCGATTCGCATCTCCATATATACAATGGTATAATGACCCCTTTTACCGCTGCTTCAGTTAGCGTTCTCTTTTCCAGGAACGCATACTGAGCGCTAAGCGGGATATTACTGTCTTTCAACTTTAATTTAACTTATTTTGCGCTCAAAATAAAAAAGTTTTTTCTATTTTCATTTATCTAAACAGATTATCTAAAAATAATATACCTATATATAGTTCATCCGTACATCCTACTGTATTTATGAATATGAATCAGGAAGAGAAAAAGAGCGAGAAGCACGACTGCGATCCGGTGAAGTGCGGCTGATCCAATGGGAAGATGCGAGCAACAGGTCTCATGGGAAGATATTAGCTTTAGAGCCGATGGGAAGATATGCGAGGGTCTGGATCCTCCGGTCCTACTTCCATCCTTCCTTTCTTCATACCTTTTCTTCGCCTATTGCTTTGTAGAGTTCTGGAGCCAAGGCTACTAGATGCTAGGGGGTTACAAAAAACGGAAAATAGCTGGATTTTGCGATTTTTTGTTAGCTGAGCAGTTGCAACGGAATGGGCCTCGAGACTCCGGCAGTCTATCGTTTGGTATTGTATCGTAAGGTTCCAAGCATAAAGCTTGGAACAAAGCTCTCTTCCGCAAGTTTAATTTCGATTTGCGCCGATCCGGTTACGGGATTATGTATTACAATTTGGCGAACCTTCACGACACGTAGTGTAAGGCAACGACAATCGCGTATTTCGGCTCATGAGCCAAGAGGGGCGGGACAGCGGAAGGGTTAAAGATGATGCAGGGGTTGCTGAGCGAAGGCTCTCAGGGGTGGAAAAAAAATTCCTCAGAGGCACTTTCAAGGGCTGCCAGGGGGTCGACCCCCTGCCCCCTGCATAATACGCCGCTGACCTTAGAGATGAATTGGTGTTGAGAAGAGGACGGCAAAGTGATTAGTGAACAAAGCAGCCACTAGGTGACGCAGACGAGCACGTACGAGTATGGCTGCCTCCTGACTCAGGGCTGTGTTTACGACATCGCGTCGTCGCGCGTGTGAAGCTTGGCACTGTTCAAAAGTGCAGGCTCGTTTCGTTCTTTTATGTCTGTTTTGTTTTGATGGCCTCGAAGTCGGCCGTGGCCGTGTGGGAATGGGAGAACAAGCAGGGTCATTGGAGACCTTACAACCCTGATCTCTGCCAGCAACTGGAGAGAGCCTTTTCCAAGGGGCTCAAGAGCGTTTACCTCGGCGATTCCGATCCTTCTTTGGCCCCATTCATCGTCTATCTTCAACCATGTTTCCAGCAGCTCTGTCTAAATACTGGTGAGGAGGCTTGTAGGCTATACAAGTCAGGGTACAAGTTCGGATCGAGACCTATTCTTACATCATGCGAATGATTCCAGGTTCGACATGGGGAGTGAGGCGAGAGCTATACCCTCCACATTCTCCTCCTGGTCGAGGTATTCGCTGGCAGTGGGCAGGAGATAGTAGAGGCCAGTGGCATTCTTATGACTCTGCCATCCAGTGCTTCGTCGAGGAGGCTTGGTCCAAGGTGAGACAGGGAAAGCAACACCGACTTTTTAAACTGGACTTTGGTTCCTTGCAATCTTTCTTCATGCAACAAGTGTAAGGATTGGAAATGAATGGAAATATTTCTGAATAGCTTGAAAAATTGCAAGATAAAAAGGATTATCAATGTGCATGTATTTTGGTGTTGGAAATTAATATTGAGTCCCTGCAGGGAGAGCCAACGGTGGACATGGGCTTGCGTTTCCCATCGCATCCCTACATAATCAATTTCTGCAACATGACCCAAATCAAGAGCACAACTGGATTCGTTCGCTCTGTCAAGAGAATTCAGATGCAAAGTTACCCTTTGGTGAAGGTTGATGCTTCTGAACCTCTTGCCACTGGTCAGCTTGTCCCCCTCACTTCAGTGAACTCAAGTTCTTGAAAATATCTAACATCAGAAGTCTTGATCTTCTCTTGTAGATGAACTGGACTTCCCTCACCGGCTTCAAATACCCCAGAAACCAGGGAAGAAGACCAAGAGCAAGAAGGAGAAGAAGAAGCAGAAGTCAGCAGAAGCAGAAGATGGGCTTCGTAACCATGCAGTACATCAGCATGCATCAGGATCCTCAGCAAAGGATTTCATCAAGAAACTGGCTCGTTTGGCTAGCAAGGATGATGCAGCCATCAGCACTGCCCCAAGGATGGGTCCATGCAGGTTAACATACAAAATTTAAAATTTCAGTTAGTGTCAGCAACAGAAATCTACGATGTCATACTTTTTGCTGAAACCATAGGCCTAAGGAATAGAAGCAGCTTGAATTGAAATTTGATGGTCTAGTTGAATGTCTGTGAGTAGGACTAATTAAAGTGATTTGGGTAGGTTTTACTCATTAAAATACATTATTCAAAACCAATGAATGTATATAAAATGTTAATTGTAATCATTCCAGCTATTTTCTTCCTTTATGTCACTAACTGATGAATAACTGGCAAATCAACGGAGAACAGCTTGAACCTCTTTCAATGATTTGCAAAGAAGGGACTTTTTTGTATGAGTCTAGTAAAGGGAGATGGATGGGATGATGGTGTGATTATGATTTTTGCCATGCCACTATTGACTGTATAGGGTGACCCAAAAAAGGGCACTCATTTCAATGTGCATTTTAGGTGTGATGCTTTCAAGGATATTTTTTCCTGTTACATGTAATGGAGGGAAGAAAGAATTAGCTACAACCTTTTCAATGAACAATGAATTTCAAAATTGAAATTCATTAAAGGGTGACTAAGAAGAAAATGATTGAATTTCGGTTATGAAAAATTGGTGTTGCGCTCACCAACTCGACCCAACATCCACTCAATGTCCTGACATTCACGAAAAGGGAAAGGGAAACACTGACCTCAGCAGATGTTGCAGGGATGATTGATGTGCCTGCTGCTGTATGCGGTTGGTGAGTGCAATACTGATTTTTTGTAACCGAAATTCAATCATTTTTTCAAAATCATCCTTTAAGAATTTAAAGTCTGAAAAAAAAAATTTTGTTGCAGGGTCTTCCTTCTTTCCATTACACATAGCCAGAAAAAAATATACTTGACAGCATCACACCTAAAATGCATGTTGAAGAGTGTGGTTTTTTGGACCACCCTGTATATAGGACTTGAAAAAATGTCACCCTCCTTTCTCCACCCCTATGACGCAAAAACACTCATTGAAAATGGGAATAGCACCAATCCAAATCCCATTTTATCCTTTTAATGGCATTTCTTAAATATAAAACCTTGATTCTAGTACTATATTGCATTATGAACTGCAGCAGGAGGTCTTTCACATAATACTGGCTTGAAAATTAACATCATTTTGGCTCTTAGTATCTATCAATGTAGGGGAGTACATGAAGATATTAATCCTAGGTACCAATTGCCTGCATGGAAAGATAAGGGGGTGGTCTATTTCAGGAAATGATAAATTTTATTGACCATTTAGGCTCTTGATTAAATTCTACATGATCCTGCCTTGTTACAGGGTTTCTGGTAGAACTGAGATTTTATTGGTTTCCATCCCTGTGTAGAAAGCTCATTTCAGCTACTATTTTCAGACTGCATCATTGTTACAATATTCATTATCTAATTAATGTTCTCTGCATCAGGGAGCTCTTGGAATTGATTGGATTTATGGTGCTTACATTAGCTTTCAGCTTGATTCAGTTATATGAGATGTGTCTTCATTGGATGCAGAGGAACTCTATCAAGTTCAAGCTTGAAGAGTGGAACCCTGGAACGTCGCCCAAGCCTGGACACCATCTCAACATACTTAAGCCAGGACTCAGGGAGCCGAGCTGCACGACCTAGAGCATCTTCGCTTGCATATGGAACAGCATCCATCCGAACCCCATGCTCCTGTCACAGTGATTCCTATGAGACAGTGTTCCTGGATGATGCATGCAGCATGTGCAGCAGCGAACAGGGAAGCAGTGTTGCATTTGCAGCCTCAGGCTTCCCTACTCGTCGAGGAGACACTCAATCCCTACCTCGTCGAAAGTCACCCCTGCAGAGGATGAACACCTCCCTGGGTAAGTTTCTTGCTTTGGTAGTTAAATTTGTTTCTTTCTATCACCTGTCATGCCTGCTAAGGAAGCATAGCAAGTTGTAGATGTTTACTTCTAATCAAAATTTCTTAGTCACAGTCTATATTCTGGTACTAATGGATTCTTCCCATCAGGCCTTGTAGTATGGAGAAACCATTATGGCTGTTAACGGTGTTGGTCATGCAGGCTTCTATAAGGGGAGCCAAATGAAATCCAGACTTTTTTTTTTGTTGTCCTATCCATTAAAATTTATTGAAAATTCCCCTCCCCCCCATGCATTGTGCCACAGGCCCTACTGGTTCACAAGACTTTTCATGCTCAAAAAAATTGTGGTTTTATTGTCCTACTGAAGGGCTGCATCCTTTATGTTGTTAGTGTGAAATGGCTCACCCTTTGAAGCACACATGATGTGGCTAAATATGAAAGTTGTATTGACCAAGGCCCAGGCTGTGAGAGAGGTGCTTATGAACTTTCAAACCAAGCATCACCCAATGTTCATATGCTCTATACCTGTGTGAGGCTGATCATTGTCGTGAAGGTGGATAGTGCAATTTTTTGAGTCTGTCAATAGCTTTCTTCCTAATGGCAGGTCACAGTTCATCAGTTCAGTGTTAACCTTGCAGTAGATGTCTGTTAGTGGGATACCCTTAGCCATTGAAAACAACACCATGCTATGCTGAATTTATTGTAATGAACTTGTGGAAGCGATGTCACCATATGTGGCATAACTGCATACCTTGTGTTTTATGTACTACATGTACAGTTGCACTTGTCCAGGTTTCACTTGATCCACCCTAATATTTTCCATAACCCATTTCCCATTCTCCTTTATGACATGAAATGTTGATATTGTAATGATGATCAAGATAATGCATCTTATGGGAAAAAAGAATGAACCAGGATTGTTTCCAAATAAGGACTTGCAGTAAGACCTGTCTAATCTTAAAGAGATGATTAAAAACGAGACATTTATTACGTTTTTTTGAGCGGATCTGAAATTGCAAATCCCAGTACCTGCGTCAATGGGTAACCCTGCTTCATCTCACAGATGTAGCATGTAGCATGAGAGTGTATTGATAATTTTGAGCCTGAAACAGCTTTTGGCTGATGTGTTAACTGTATGCATGCTTGCTGTTATTTTTTTGGCAAAAAAATACTGTAGTTGATTGGATTTATAAAAAAAATAATAGTAATAATATAAAAAATCACAGAAATTATAAAAGCTTGTTTCCATAAAAACAGATTATGGACAGTAAGAGTACATTCCCTCAGAAACAAATACAGTGAAAACTCGTTAACTCGAACTTTTAGGGACCGGGCAAATCGTTTCAAGTTATCCGAAGTTCGAGTTATCAGGAATCGCCACCCCCCCCCCC